ATGACAAAAAAAAGATAAAAAGGATTCACAGGGGAGTCTTTTGTAATGTGGTACGTATTGATGTAATGCAGCTAACTTGACACAGGTATGATTTTCCCATCAACACCCCTGAGTGGTTACAGTTGCTGACAACTACTTCTGCTGGGTTTAATTGGAAAACAGAAAGACATCCAAAAATAAAAGCATATCAAAATGATAATCAAAACTCAGCAAATAAACTATTAGAAAAAAAACATTCCTTGTTTTCCATTATTCTGTGAAGAGCAACCTATTTTCTTGTGCAGGGGTTTGAACTGGAGTGATCCCTTTGGGAAAGTTCAAGTATGAAGCTGGGGAATTGCAGCGCCTTTTCTCCGTAAAGCTCTGACGGGGCTGCAAATCAGCCGGGCCAGCTGAGGAGCAACATGCATTCAATGACTGAAGCAACAGAAAGCCACAAGGTGCTTCTGGGTAATGAAGGTTGATTTGTTGTTTCTTCGATCCACCTTGGGTCAGTTTGTGAAGAGGGGGCTTGATGGTGGAAAGTACAAAACAGAACACGACCCAAGGAACATTATTAATGGTTCACCCTCAAACATTCAGAAATGTGTGCTTTGAAACCTGCATGCCATGAGTGAATTTTTGAAGTTGCTTCAGAAGAAAAAGCAACAGAACAAAGCCAGAGAGCACCAGGTTGACCTCTAAATTTAAACTGCTCAGAAAACAGACATTTTAAAAACACCACGCCAAATCTATCTACAAAGACGGCTAAAAAAATAACTGTTATAAAATGATTTGCCATGGTTTTTACAGCTGTATTCCGAAGCTCACATAGCAAGTAAGAAAGTACAAACCGGGTTCCAAAAAAGTTGGGACACTAAACAAATTGTAAATAAAAACGGAATGCAATGATGTGGAGGTGCCAACATATAATATTTTATTCAGAATAGAACACAAATCACAGATCAATAGTTTAAACAGAGAATGTATCATTTTAAGTGAAAAATCTGTTGTTTCCAAATTTCATGACGTCAACAAATCCCAAAAAAGTTGGGACAAGTTCATTTTTACCACTGTGTGGCATCCCCCCTTCTTACAACACTCAACAGACGTCTGGGGACAGAGGAGACCAGTTTCTCAAGTTTAGAAATAGGAATGCTCTCCCATTCATGTCTAATACAGGCCTCTAACTGTTCCATCATCTTGGGCCTTCTTTGTCACACCTTCCTCTTTATGATGTGCCAAATGTTCTCTATAGGTGAAAGATCTGGACTGCAGGCTGGACGTTTCAGTACCCGGATCCTTCTCCTACGTAGCCATGATGTTGTGATTTCTGCAGAATGTGGTCTGGCATTATTGTGTTGAAAAATGCAGGGTCTTCCCTGAAAGAGATGACGTCTAGACGGGAGCATATATTGTTCTAGAACCTGAACATAGTTTTCTGCATTAATGGTGCCTTTCCAGACATGCAAGCTGCCCATGCCACAAGGGCTCATGCAACCCCATACCATCAGTGATGCAGGCTTCTGAATGGAGCGTTGATAACAACTTGGGCTATCCTTGTCCTCTCTGGTCCGGATGACATGGCGTTCCAGTGTTCCATAAAGAACTTCAAATCGTGACTCATCTGACCACAGAACAGTCTTCCATTTTGCCACACTCCATTTTAAATGACCCCAGGCCCAGTGAAAACGTCTGAGCTTGTGGAGCATGCTTAGAAATGGCTTCCTCTTTGCACTGTAGAGTTTCAGCTGGCAACGGCAGATGGCACGGTGGATTGTGTTCACTGACAATGCTTTCTGGAAGTATTCCTGAGCCCATTCTGTTATTTCCTTGACAGTGGCATTCCTGTTTGAGGTGCACTGACGTTTAAGGGCCCGAAGATCACGAGCATCCAGTAGAGTTTTACGGCCTTGACCCTTACGCACAGCGATTGTTCCAGATTCTCTGAATCTTTTGATTATGTTATGCACGGTTGATGATGATAACTTGAAAGTTTTTGCTATTTTACGCTGGGTAACATCATTCTGGTATTGCTGCACTATCTTTCTGCGCAACAATGGTGGAATTGGTGATCCTCTTACCATCTTGGCTTCTGAGAGACACGACACTCTGAGAAGCTCTTTTTATACCCAATCATGTTGTCAATTGACCTAATTAGTGTTAATTGGTCTTCCAGCTGTTCGTTATATGCTCAATTTCCTTTTTCCAGCCACTTATTGCTACTTGTCCCAACTTTTTTGGGATTTGTTGACACTGTGAAATTTTGAATCAACATATTTTTCCTTTAAAATGTTACATTTACTCAGATTAAACTTTTGATCTGTCATCTACGTTATATTACAAATAAAATATTGACATTTGCCATCTCCACATCATTGCATTCAGTTTTTATTCACAATTTGTTTAGTGTCCCAACTTTTTTGGGATATGGTTTGTAAATAAAACGTTATACTTCAAGATAAAAATCACAAAGTGCTTCAACAAACAAAATAACAAATGCACAAAACAAATTTAAGCAAAAGCAGATTTAAAAAAGATGAGTTGTTAGCTGGCCTTTAAAAGAAGCGAACGGAGTTCCAGAGTCTTGGAGCCACAGAAAAAAAGGCTTTGTCTCCTTTAGTTTTCAGTTTTGTCTGGGGGACAATCAGCAGGTCTTGATCGCAGAACCTCAAAGCCCTGACAGGGGTATAGAGATGTAAAAGTTCTGAGGTGTAAATTGGTGTCTGTCCATGCAGAGCTCGCCAAGCCCAAACCAAAATCTTGAAATCCACTTGATAATGAACTGGGAGCCAATGGAGTTGCTTTACAAGTGGAGTTATATGACAGAATTTTGAAGATCCAGTCAGGAGTCTAGCAGCAGCATTCTGTACAGACTGCAACCAGTCTAGGGAGGTTTGATTCAACAAGTGTACACAAAAATCCAGGCGAGACGAAACAAAAGCATGAATTAAGATTTTCAATTCTGGACGAGAAACAATATGGCTAAGCCTGGCAATATTTCACAGACGGTAAAAACAGGAACAAACCAGAGACTTTACATGCTTTTCCAGAGTAAAACTTGAGTTGAAGGTTATCCCAGGGTTTCTAACCGAAAATGTAACAATACAGTAAAACCAATAGGCCCAAGGATTTGCTTTATCAGTACAGCTGTTTTTTTCTGGTGCAAAGATAATTACTTAATTTTTCTCTCCAATTAGCTGGAGAAAAATTTACATACACTATTTGTGGGCATAATCATGTATTAATTTCAAGCTTTCAGCATTTTATGATTTTGTATAATTTTGATTGTGTGGAAATAAGAGAAAATCCACAAGAAATTTGAACTTGTGTATTGCTTTTTAAAACTCATTAAAGTTGTATGTTGTCTCATTTATACCCTGGAAAAAGAATGGTCCTAGCAAAACATTAAAAGACTCAGATTAATTAAAGATTCATGCCCATGGATGTAAACTGTAGCAATACAAACTAATGACATCCAGTGTGCAACACACACTTGTTCTGCACGCACACAAAATCTGTTCATTTATTGGGGTTAGACTAGAGGGTCAACAATATGATCTTGTGAGAAATGTCTTCAGTAAAAACCTAACAAGCTTTAGTTCCAAGAGTTATCTCACAGAACAGAATATTATCTCTCAGATGGTTTAGTGCGGTACTGAAAAGAAATACTTGTAGAGGGTAAGATGACAGGATAGAGATGATGATGGGCTTTGCTTATCCATGATAACTTTGAAAAAGTAAGTACATAAAGTCTGTAGAAAGAATCTAGTGGTGATAGTGAGTAAGAAGTACATATTAATTTCAGGCTTTTAATGACTTGCTTGTACCATTTTTTTTCCAGGGTGTAAATGATAACACAGCATACAGATTTAATGAGTTTTAAAAAGTAATAAAAAGTAGTAGTCTAGACTGGACTATTGGTTTATTATCTGGGTGTCCACAAAATTCTTGAAAAAGTCTTCAGTTGATCCCAAATGCTGCTGCCAGAGTCTTAACTTTCGTTAGTAGGAGAGATCATATCTCTCCAGTTTTAGCTTCTCTCCATTGGCTCCCTGTCAAATTCAGAATTGAATTCAAAATCTTACTTCTAACCTACAAAGCTCTCAACAACCTATCTCCATCTTATATGACAGGTCTTATTGTTCCATATTTTCCTAACAGAGCACATCACTCTCAAACTGCTGGTTTATTTGTGGTTCCTAGAGTTTCCAAAAACAGAATGGAAGGAAGATCTTTCAGTTATCAGGCTCCTCTCTTGTGGAACCAACTTCCAGTTTCTGTCCGTGAGGCTGACACATTGTCCAGTTTTAAAACTGGGCTTAAGACTTTCCTTTTTGACAAATCCTATAGTTAGGGTTGGCTTGTTATACTGCTATCGACTTAGACTACTAGAGAAGAAAATAACCTAATATCCTTAAATTAATTGTTAAAATTGAATAGTTTTCATTTGATAGTATTTCTATCTTTACATGTGATTCTTGACCTGCCATTGTGTATCTGTTCCTCTCAAATCCAGCCAGTCGAAGCAGATGACCGCTTGTCCTGAGTCTGGTTCTGCTAAAAGTTTCTTCCTCACGAGGGAGATTTTCCTTTCCAGTCGCCTTCATGCTTGCTCAAGATGAGAGTTCTGTGATGGAGTTAAATTCAAAGCAGTCTGATCCTCAGATAAATAGTGTTACATTATTATTTTAATGTATGAATGTTTCTGTTCAGTGCCCTGAGATGACTTCTGTTGTGACTTGGCGCTGTATAAATAAACTGAAATGAAATTAATTCAACTGAATATATATGTTCAGGCTGCTGTTTAATACACTGCATTATATTATTATTGTTTAGTGTATAGCTTAGATCCTTGTATACTGTTTCTTTTTTTTAATTGTTTATATTTTTGCAATGTTTGGGTATAACTGGGACCTTGAGTACACAGTTTCGTTCCACCTCATGTACCACATGTGATGTGAATAACAATAAAGAACGTTGAACCTTGATAAAGAATTGTAATTCAATAAATCACTTACTGAATATTTAGGGGAGACTCTGGCCCAAAAATGTCTGAAATGGAGCTGAAAAATGGGAAAAGAAACAAAGTAAGAACGATGAGACATTGTTGACAAAGTTTTATCTTTTACAGAAGTTGCCATTTCAAAAGAGAAGGAATGATTTGACTTGTACCCAAACTTATCTATTTGCAGTCGATGAATGATATCTGCTCTGTTAGCCTCAGCACGTTTGTCCAAAGTAAAACACCCAATGAACCTACTTATCAGTGGAAAAGCCACGTTATCTACAAGATGAACAAAGTGTTTTGACCCAATATGTTATTATAAAGAGACTAAAAATTTAGATTTTTATTTTAACCTGGAAGTTTGAAATGGCAGATTGTTAAAAAAAAACACGAGTTTCACAATAAATATGAACTGATCGTTTGAAAATATTAACATTTCATTTCTAGAAGTTGCTGATTGAGGCTGAAGACATCCTTCAGTGAGGACCTTCATCGACATGTACAGCCTGTACCTCAGCGAGGCTGTTTTTATAATAAGGCTTTTGAGTGTCAGCCTGTAGCATGCTAATGGCAACAGTATTGTCATTTCTTGCAACGCCTGAAGAAACAGAGACAGGCCCTCTGCGACATGAGATTAACTCTTCATCTGCCTAAACAATGAAAAGTACAGAGCTGTAGCTAAACTGAGAAGACAACTTTAGTTTATTCCCTACAAGCTCCAGGGGATTCTCTATACATTTACTTCAGATCAGTGTTTGCTGTTCCATAGACTCTTGTAAAGTGATCGAGGACTGTCAGATCATCAGTGGAATAACGTCAATGTCAATGGCAGGTGTGTCTGATTGATGCAGCTCTTACTTGAAAGCACAGACAAGAGGCAATCAATACTTTTAACAGTGAAGTTAAAGAGCTTATTTACCTTGATGAGCTCATTTATCTTTTGTTAGCAGTTTTATCTCCCTTTGATTGTGGATTTGACACTCAGAGTGAAGTTATGCAGTTACTCTAACACACTGCATGCATGACTAGATGAGAAAAATGCACTGGGTCTAATATTCTAATATATAGAAAAACGACTTTATGCACTCTAATTAAACAGACACAAAAATGTTAATGGCAGACAAAACAAATGCACAGATCACATTAAAACACAGTGTTTAGTCAATCAGGAAGGGATACCCTGAGTTCTGATTAGGTTCTGTCTTACCTGCTGATGGACACGTCACTTAGAGTAGGGCTGGATGACAAAAGGATTTCTCTTACAGATTGATCATCATCCTCTTCATTTTCCACTTTTACCACAGTGGAGATTTTTGTTTCTGCAGGTTGAAATGAAGGAAGGAGAGAGAAAAAAAACACATTGAACATTCAGGCAGAAAACTCAGCTGATGACAGGCCTGTCCAAGGTTTTAGATAAAAACATCTAACACATCTAAGACAAGGTTTTAAACCTTTATGGATTTTTTTTTTTTTTTTTCTAGTTTAGAAGTTTTTTCTTTGTAAAACCTCTGAAACTGCTTGCTTTATGCCACTATTTTTTAACAGGTTAACAACTTGTTTTTTTATTTATTTATTTATTTTTTTAGAAATAAATAGATTTCCTTTGGAACAAGACACATTTTGTCAACAAGTTGGTTTTCCAGCTCCGGAAGAACAATCTATTCTTCTGAAAAACGGGTGAGTTTTTTGTACCTGCAGAGTTTGACTCATGAACATCTTTGTTCTCCTCAGTTACTTCCTGTTTAACACGAGCCCGTCTAGTGTTCTCCATGCGACCTTTGACCTGTGCAATTAGCCGGGAGAAGTCACTGCTGTGCTGCTTCCCTGTGGACACCACAACATCCAGGACAAAACATGAAAAAATTTAAATGAATTTGTGTTTAAGTCTGTTCAATATACTTTATATCTAATCTATGCATATTATATTGTTTTTCACCTTGCTATAATCCAAATGGAAGATGCGTTCTCATTATTGACTGGTAACATGAAAGGCAGGCAATACCTGCACGCGTTTGTCTGTTTGTGAGCGAACTACCTCAAAAACCAGTGAACAGTATGAATAAAACTTTCAGAAAGTAATCATTGAATGAACATCTAGAACTACCTTGCAGCATTAACAAGATTCAAGATGGTCGTCTGAAATAATCAACATCGAGGAAAGACAAAAATGAATAAAACTTATTTTTATAAATACGAAGTTAAGTTTTGAAGTGGGAGTAGCTGAGATTCATCCTCAAAACATACTATGTGTTCCAACAGACTGCACAATGCATTTGTTTTAAATTTTGGAATGCAAGGCGTTGGACAAAATGTAAGTTTGATGAAGCTCTTTTAATGTTTAAGTCAGCAAAGAGCTGACCACATGACGTAGTGCATTAAAAATATATAAAGATTGTTTTAGCAAACTACTAATGCAGAATAAAGAATGAGAACTCATATTTCATTGTCAGGCAGTTTTATCTGCAATACATCAGTTGAATAAGATTACCATTGATTTCCCTTCTTTTTAACCTTCAGATAGTTAAAAAGACAGAAAAGGGAGTACTTTTTTCATATTAGTATAATGGCGTTGATACAGGCTACAATATAAGTATAGACATTTTTTTGTCCACGTTTGTGGTATAGAATGAACAATGACTGCTGCTTTACTCTATCGATAAAACATCTAAAGGAAGAAAACAGGTTCAGTTTGGCAGCGATTCAAAAGTTAGTTGATCTAAATCTTGGTTCAGAGTATCTGGACAAAGAACAGACAGAATCTTGACAGTGGGGAAACAAAATAATATATAATAAACCCAAACATAGCAACTTGTATTAGTAAAACCATAAAGAATACCACCATTGGCAGGCGAGAAGTAAACAAGTTCAGGATTGTTGTTGAAAGAAAAACAAAAGAAATTCAGTATTTTTACTTGAATGCACCTCCGTGTCTCACAGAGGCAGTTGATGCAGTTCAGGGATCTGTCAAGAATGTCTCCAAGACAGTTTCCAGGTGAATAATTTAAGTCGTGTTGTTTTCCAGGAAAAGGTCCTGGGGCAGCCCTGTGACACACTGGAGAGATTATGTCTCTCTGGCTGTGAAACGCAACAATCTTCCTTCCAGGAGAAACCTGAGGAGGTGGCTGAGGACAAGCAGTTGTGGACAGATCTACTACTACCATCCCTATAAACCAAACAAGGAACAAAAAGATTTTTGCACAATTAACTTAATTTTAGGTAGCAATATTACAAGCACTACGTTTGAATATATACCAAGTGAGATACAAAAGGTTTCCATTAAGCCACAACATGTTTAGACAGACATGTCAATGACTTTCTAATATACAAACATGAGGTGGGGCCAACAGTAAAGCAGCATTTGCACAAATATTCATTCTAAAATAGACATGTGCATGACAGCCAAGTTAAAAAGACTACTTCAGCTGTCTGAACTACTTAGGAGCAGCATGTTATTGTTGTGCATAAGCGGCATCTCTTTTCTCAATTATCCTTCAGTTTGACCTTTTGGAACTTCTATCAACACACCTTTGCCTGATGTGAAAATACAATCTGTCTTAAGGACAACTTTAGAATGACCTTGACTTGGTCCTGACTGAAAGGCAGGGGCACATGCCATTAAGACTCCCTTCTCACAGGATGACAACCTCACTATGTGCTCAGCAACCTATTAGAACATGGCTGGACAGTGGCAAATTTAAATATCCCATTTCCATGTGGCAATCACAACACTGTTAATCTTTTAGTACTCACTAAATAGGTTTGCCTGCTTTTTTCCACAACCCTGAGATGTTTACCTTCAGCTTTACGCTCCCAGCTAAAGGCTAGAAGATTAGCCCGATGGCGCTGCTAGGAGTATCACGTCTGCACAAGGTTGTTCCAGTGATGATGTCACAGTCATAGCCAAGGCAAGAGGCCACAAGGTCAGTCCTGCTTCAGATTCTCCCAGACCAAGCCACCCAGATGCGCCCTCTTCTTTCCTGTAAGTTGACATTATGGACTGAACGCTATCACTGACCAGAACCTACAGGTTGTTCCATGTGGCTGTTCTAAGAATAACTTTTCAATTAGGATCAACACTAAAAAAAGAAAAGGTGAGAATAGGAAGAAATTGCAAAGTCTCTATGGATTTTGTGTTTGCGTGTGTGTTTCCTGCGTTCACATTCGTATTTTTGCAGTCACCATTTCCCATACTGGCAGAGTGAGTCATCCACATCCTTCTCTGATAAATCAAGAGGTTATCACGGCAGAGCAGCTATTTATAGAACCCACCTCCTGTGAGTCACATCCATTTCTCTAATGCTTCAAAACTTACCTGTACGTAGTTATTTCCAAGCTTTTCAGCTACATCAATATGATGTGAATTAAGTCCTCCAGTGCTGCTGTTTTTGCTCAGCCTGAGCCTTGAAGCTAAAAACTGGAAAATGTCTGTTTCTTTGTGTCTGTGTGATGGTCTCATAATATTTAAAATCTTTAAATAGTCAAGTATTCGTCAAGATTATAAATACATATATATATATACATATATATATATATATATACACATATATATATATATATACATATATATATATATATATACATATATACATATATATACATATACATATATATACATACATATATATACATACATATATATACATATATATACATACATATATATATATACATATATATATATACATATATATATATATATATACATACATATATATATATACATATATATATATACATACATATATATA